ACGACTACGACTACAACTCCGACTACGACTACGACTACTACTACTACCACCACTACTACTACTACTACTACTACTACCACTACTACTACTACTACCACTACTACTACTACTACTACTACTACTACTACTACTACTACTACTACTACTACTACTACTACTACTACTACTACTACTACTACTACTACTATTATTTCTATTACAACTACTGCTACTACTACCTACCTACCTACCTACCTACCTACCTACCTACCTACCTACCTACCTACTTACCTACCTACCTACCTACCTACCTACCTACCTACCTACCTACCTACCTACCTACCTACCTACCTACCTACCTACCTACCTACCTACCTACCTACCTACTACTACTACTACTACTACTACTACTACTACTACTACTACTACTACTACTACTACTACTACGACACTACTACTACTACTACTACTACTACTACTACTACTACTACTACTACTACTACTACTACTACTACTACTACTACTACTACTACTACTACTACTACTACTACTACTACTACTACTACTACTACTACTACTACTACTACTACTACTACTACTACTACTACTACTACTACTACTACTACTACTACTACTACTACTACTACTACTACTACTACTACTACTACTACTACTACTACTACTACACTACTACTACTACTACTACTACTACTACTACTACTACTACTACTACTACTACTACTACTACTACTACTACTACTACTACTACTACTAGCAGAGTGCCTCGCTATCTTCCACAACGTTGCCGAACTCATTTGTCGCGCGGAGTAGGTGATCTGCAGCTTCGAACGCGCTTTCCAGGTACACCTTGGAGTTGATGGCTTTGCATCCTGCGTCCTTGATGTCCGCCCTCTGTACACCTGGGCGGAGAGGGTCTTGTGGATTTACGCTACGACGGCGAGCTCCGCGCCAGTTGGCCCCGTCTGGGTGGGGGGGCGGGGCCGAGGTAGGCGAAATCGTGTTCGGCCATGCCTCCCGCCCTTTCCCACGGCAGTGCCACGACGGGGGCCCTCCTCTCCAGCGCGTCTCTCGCGGTGCCGTCGCTGTTGGTCTTCCCCCAGACGGCGCTGCGGCAGTGGGGTAGGTGAATAAGTCTGGCGGGCCAGCGACCTCTAGGGATGTTGGTATCCGCGTCGGTGCGGTTCCTGCTAAAGTAATTAATGGCGGCGTCGGCGCAGCTGGCGCTGGCCTCCCGTTTCCGCCTGTGGTTGGTGGCGCCTGGGTACGCCAGCGCGTAGTGGTTGCATGCGGTTTCCATCCATCCTCTCTTGGGGGTCACTGGCGCGTAGACCGGCCCCACTTCCAGCGCTGCGTAAATCAATTCCTTGGCGAACAACCTGGAATCCAGGTTGCGCTGGGCCCTGTCTGGCGCTCGTGCCGCGGGCGCTGCAAAGGATGGGTCCAACCTTGGGTCGTCGGGTGGTTTATACTCGAATAGTTCGACCCCCTCTCGGATGCGCTGGCAGGAAAGGGCCCTCCGTTGGTCCTGCCGTTGCAAATCGGGCGCGGCGCATGGTGCGCGATGTCCGCTCGGCTGCGCCTCTCCAGCTCCGCGATCCTCTCCGCGCGCTGCGCGGCGTAGCCCTCGAAGAGGTCGGCGATCTGATCTCTGCCTTCCTGGCGGAGGTGGCCTTCGGCAGCGAATTGAAGACCGTAGATGGCGGCGCCGCGTTGTCCGATGTGATCTGTCAATAATTGCTCCACTGTAGGTCCGCCAGCGGTTCCATCAGTAGAGTGAACCGCGGTGGCGCGAAACACCGCGCGGGTCTGGAAAGAGCTGGCGAAACGGAAAATCCTGAGCCAGACGCGCGCGGAGCGGTGGGTCACATGACGCTGACTCGCATAGCTCAAAATGTCAGTTGAGGTATCGCTGCTCAAGAGAGATGCCCCAGGCGATGGCGGTCCGCGCTGGGCCCCCCCCCCTGCCGCACAGACTTTTCAATTCTAGTGCCCCCCCCCTGAATTTCAATCTGCGTCGCTGCCACGGTCCATTGGGTGGGCAGCTATTCCCCGGGTCAGGCACGCGAGAACCCTTGGTCGGCGCAGCTCAAGCGGTCCGTTGAGGTAGCACTTGCCAGGGGACATGCTCCGAATGATGCTGGGCCGCACAGGGTAACTGTAGCCCTTTTCCCGCAGACCCCATGGTTTGCCGAGGTAAAAGACGCCGATGGGTCATGCGGTCGGTGCTCCTCTGGAAACCACAGGGAGGGTTCCGAGGGGTATGAATTTGCACGTGGTGCTCGTCGATCTCCCACTGATTGACATGCTCATCCACGCCCCACCATGCTCGCACTGCTTCGCTGATCCGCCGCCAGTGTCTGGTCCATGTGGCTTGGCTGTGTCTTGGCGGCCGTGATCTGCCATGTCCCGTCTTCGTCGCGCCCCAGTGCAGTCGTCGCGTTGCCATAGGGAACGCCGAACAAGGACAACAAGGAGCGCAGGAGTTTTTCAAGCCACGGCAAGCCTCGGGCACGAACAGGTTCCGCGATCCAGACCTGAGGAGCGGCCCGGAAACCAGAGCCCCTCCCGAGCCCAACGCGGCCCTTGTCACAGCGTCTCGGCTCGGGTGGGCATTCCGCCCGCGGTTGTCTGCATCTGCTCGGCATTGCGAGGATTCGCGATGTGAGGCCTCGCGCCCCAATCGCGAGCAAGCTTATCGGTTTCCGCGGAACCTTTCCCATCATGCAACGGTCGAAAGACACGATCGTACTGCAGGTCGTTGTAGGAGATGAAATACCTCAGGTAATAGCCAACTGCTCGCGACCCTTCTTCTGTCGTGGGCCGTCTCGGGGTGCTCCATGATGGCAAGTATGTCCATTGGGTTCGCCACGTGGGAAAACAGTATGGTTGTCCTCAGCAGCTGGTTTCCAAAGTCGATATGGCTGCTTCTGTGATCGCTCGCGCAATTGAATCCCCTTGGTTGTTCCGTGATGCGTAGCTGTCGTGGCTGTCTGCGAGCATGTGGTGGTTCGTTGTTTTTGCTGCGCTCCATGTCTTGCATGGTGCGCCTGCTAGTAATGCTCCAACTCTTCTAACCTGGAGGAGACGGCGCCCCTATTGGTGAGGTCGCCTTCGGTGACGTGGTTGGCGATGTCGATGGAGAAAGCATGTGTCTGTCTGCTCTCTGGCGATTGGAAATGTCGGTTTCCCTCTCGCCGTTGCCCAATATAGAGGTGTCGGAGGTGAGGGGGTGAGATCGAAGTGGAACGGAGAGCCCCCCCACCGGGAAATCGATTTCGGTTTCGTGTTCGTGCGTGCCGTGCGTGCGGGCGAGGCGAAGCTGCGTGGGCGGGCGAGAGAAAGTCTCCTGTGGCTGAGGCGCGGCCGGACCAAATTATTCCCTTCCGGGCGGCCGGGGCCCCGCGGTGTCCCGCCGGTGTCCCGCTGGTGTCCCGTGTGGCTGAGGCGCGGCCGGACCAAATGTCTCCCTTCCGGGCGGCCGGGGCCCCGCGGTGTCCCGCCGGTGTCCCGTCGGTGTCCCGTCGGTGTCCCGAAAATGATGTTGTTGATGATGATTATGATGGTTATGTTGATGGAGATGATGATGACGATGATGGTGTCCTGGTGATGATGATGATGATGATGATGGTGATGATGATGTTAATGATGATGATGATGATATGACGATGATGATGCTGTTTCTGCCCGTTGTTGTTGATGATGATGTTGGTAATGATGATGCTGCTGATGATGATTATGGTATCCCGATGATGATGATGATGATGAGGATGATGATTATGACCGTGGTGATGATAATGGAGATGGTGATGTTGTGCCGATGATGATATTGATGATGGTGTTGGTAATGATGATGCTGCTGATGATGATGGTATCCCGATGGTGTTGGTGATGTTGTTGATGGTGTTGATGATGGTAATGAACTGGCGATGGTGATGGTGTCATGATGTTGTTGATGATGTTGACGATGAAAATGATGGTGACCATGATGGTGTCCCGATGATGATAATGTTGATGGTGATGATGACGACGGCTGTGTCCCGATGATGATGATGATGACTATGGTGAGATGATGATGGCGTTGATGATGATGGCATGATGATGATGGCGTTGATGATGATGGCGATGATGATGATGTGAAGATGACAGTGTAACGATGACGACGGAGATTGTGGAGTTGTTGCTGATGATGATGATGATGATGACGTTGAATGTTATATCGATTGTGATATCGGTAGTGAGATCGATAGTGAGACCGAATGTGGGATCGATTGTGAGATCGATAAACAGATCAATTGTGAGACCGAGCGAATGCAATATATCGAGCGAGATCGATTGTGTGATCGATCGAGTGAATCCGATCGAGCGAGACCGATAGTGAGATGGATAGTGAGACCAATCGAGTGAGACGCTGCATCCTCCCCCCCGAACCTCCTTATCACCCGAAGGGTGGTCGTATAGGTAGGATAAAACAAATCGGCCTTCCCTGCGGTCGTGGGTTTGTGGTGAAGTTCTTGGCGGGGGGGTCGGCCTCCGGTAGTTTGACGGGCGGTTTTCTGTTGTGTGTGACATCATTTTCCTTGGCGAAAGCGGGGACGATGTCAATATCGTACCTCGGTATGTGGGCGTAGTCGGGTGGCCTTCCAGATTTGATGTTGGCTCGTTGTGTCTCCAAGACGTAATGTTTTCTATTCTGGTCGGTCGTCGCCTAAATCACGGAGGGCGCTCATATATGGTATCGCGCATGCCCGGGTTGCCTGGGGAACTCCGCGATTCGTGCGTGTGTACGGCATTGCCCAGTACATGTCAAACATATCGTGCCTCGTGCCCACCGGGTTGGGTGGGTCCCACTTGTGTGGTGCATGCCGAAGTGCGCGAGGTATGCGTTCTTGTTCAAGAAGGCGGCTCCGCACTGGTAGCGCACCGAATTGGGCTTGGGCTTGGGTGGTGGTGGCAGTGTCGATATAGGCGGCATGTTGTTGTGTGTATAGGGGGACGGCCGAGGGGCTGTTCCTATACTGGGGCCGTAGGTAGAGGCGAGGAGTAGGACTCCTTTTTCCAGGGCACCGCGCAGGGAACAGTGCACTGTTAGTGTATTGCCAATAACTGAGCCAATACAGCTGCGGCAAGAGAGGATATAATAGTAGGGAAGTGAGCGGACTTCACACACACAGTTGTCAGTGTGCTGGTACGGCTCCGCGGCTCCAGCTCGCTGTGCCGTCGCCGCTGGTGAGCCCGAGCCTGTTGCCGTCGTAAGTATCGGTGTGTTGCCTTCCCGCCTGTGGCTCGGAATCGTACTGGGTCGTCGCGCACAGCGCGTGCGACTTCCCTCGTCCTCTTCCTCCTGCTTCTCCTCCTCCTCCTGCTCCTCTTCCTCCTCCTTCTCCTCCCTCCTTTTCCTCCTCCTCGTCTCCATTCCCCCCCACCAGGCTGCCGAACGCAGGAGGAAGAGCCCGAGCCCCCCGCTGAGCCGTCGCCTTGGCGCCTCGTCCTCGCCTCCATCCTGGCGTCCTCCTCCTCCTCCTCCTCCTCCTCCTCCTCCTCCTCCTCCTCCTCCTCCCCCTTTTCGATATATTCAACATCGTCGTCATTATCGTCGTCCTCCTCTTCCTCCTCCTCCACCTCCTCCTCCTCCTTCTCCTCCTCCTCCCTCCTCTCCCTCCTCCTCTTCCTCCTCCATCTTTTTTTCCCTTATAAGCAACTCCTCTGTGTTGCGCCCCGAAACGTGTCGGTAGTGCGGGCTGGGCGTCTCGCCTGATCAGTTATGATCCTTAAACTGAAAATGTACAGCAGCTTCACGAATGGAGGGCGGGCGGTGTTCGAAATGTGGCCCTCGCTTTAGCGCCGCGCAGATTCGTCTTAGAAGTTGGCAAGAGTTTCACGAGTGGACGGCGGGTCTTTTAAAAACGTGTCTCTCGCTTTAGCGCCGAGCGCATTCGTCTTACAGAGCTGAAGGAGCTTCACGGATGGAGGGCGGTGCCTTTTCCAAAATGCGGCTCTCGCCTTAGCGCCGCGCGCATTCGTTTTTCGAACAAAAAACAAAAACAAGCATCGTTGCAAGAGCTTCACGGCTGGCGGGCGGCATTGTTTCAAAATGTGGCTCTCGCCGTAGCGCCGCGCACTTTCGTCTTAAGAGTTCACTGCTTGTTTAAGAATTATTTTGGTTGACGTCCCACGAACTGTGTTGCGACACGATGTAGGAATGTCAAGGCGCAACAGTTACGTTGATTCGCGGTGTTGAAAATCACTGGAGCTGCGTTCTGGGAAAGTTCTGGATCGTCAGGACACAACAGTAACGTGGATTCGCGGCGCTGAAATCCCAAGAATGGTATTCTGACGCGCTTCAGGATTTTCAGACGGTTGTCTTCCAACGGGCCACTTCCCTCAGTGAGTATCAATCCGT